AAACAAACCCCACACACATTTTCTTAGCATTTTTTCTTAGAACTGTGACTCATCTGATGTCCAAAACATTTCAGAATTAAAGCAGGCACTTCCATCACAATATCCTGACTATTTTGATTTTAAATTACATGTAATATGCATGTTGTTCTCTAGGAATCCAATCTGTTCCATAATTCCAGTAGAGACTGGGGAATTGGAGAAAGAGGAGAAACTCATGAAGTTCCCTGGAAGCTTAATAGTTCTTCTCCAACTCGCTACTCGGGGACAATTGATCATCCATGGTCTGGAAGATTTTTGGGAAGCAGAAGCAGATTGGTAAGATTTGATAGTGTATAAAATACATGGGCAGAGGTTTTACTTACACATCTTCCTGGTTGAAAAACGGCTAGTAAGAATCGCCTGCTATGTTTAAATTTGGTAGAATGAGGGGAGAACAGAGGTTTATAAATAATTACTTGAATTAGATTTGTTTTAGGTTACTTTACAAATTGTTAAATAAAAATTTGAAGGGGACATAGCTCTGCAAGTTCTCCATTTTAAAATTAAAGGAGTAATATGCATAACAGCCAGGGGAGCAGACAGGCTTGCCCAGGGTTCCACAGAGGCTAAGCCAGAAGGGGCTGGACCTCAGGTGGAAGGGGCAGTCAGCCCTTGGCACCTCCCTGATTGTGGAATGCTGCTTTTCCCCACAGCACTGCCCAGACCATGCAGCTTGGTGCTCAGTGGCAATTTAAAAGGCTTGGGGTTCCCATGCCAAAGTAGCAGAGATGGTGGCCGGGGGCAGCTGCTCCTTTTGTGCCCTCCCTCCCCACCCCCAGCAAGCATGATAGCAGGGGAGAGATGGGGTGATAACTAAACTCTTAAATGCATATTGTGGCCCCACATATGGCTAAACACACATTATGGTACTCCTCCTTCGATCTGTTACACCTTGAATATACGTTTAGGTTACTTTGACCCTCATGTTGACATACTTTTAAAATGGAAATTGAAATTTTTAATTGTGTGACTCCAGGAGCTAGGGCCTAAGGAGTCTGTCTTAATCTGGTCCTTATCTCCCCATAGATTTGAAGCTTGCTATTTGACATTTATTTGCAACATTGAAGTCAAACTTTTTTTAAATTAGTAGTAAAACAGGAAACTGGGTAAGCCATGGAAAGGCCTGTGTTGGTTTAAAATGTTAGACATTTTTCCAAGAGAGAACTTTCAGTTTAAACAGTGTTTGGCTTACCTTCACTCTGATTCACCTTGGTGTAAGAGTCAGAGTGCAGGTGAGAAAATAAGTGCTGTGGGGCTGCCAGTCTTCAAAGGAAATAATGATGAAAGACTACATGTAGTTGAAGTGCAAGCTGTGCTTCTATTTATAAAAGGCCTGTACCTGTTAGTAGGCATTGTAAGATTTTCCATCTGGTACATTTTGCCCTCTTAAATTTTGATTATTCTTAAAGTAACCTTTGAGCTGTAATACAGAGTACAGTAAACTTCCGATAATCTGGCACCTTTAGGACCCCAGGGGTGCCGGATTATCAGATATGCTGGACTATCGGAAGGGGGGGCTATGAGGGGTCTGGGCTGGGGTGAAGGGCCCCCACCAGCCCCCAAGCTGCTCTGCCCCAGACTTCCCCAAGTCAGCTGCTGCTGAAACTGACCAGCGGCTGACTCGGGGAAGCCTGGGGCAGAGCAGCTCCAATGTGTCCAGCTGACTGGAGCACTTCCAGGTTCCAGGTGGCACCGGACTATCAGGAGTGCCGGACCACTGGATGCTGGACAACTTGGAGTTTTACTGTAATGTTGCACCACACAGTACTTTTAGTTCAGCTTTGTTGAGCAATGTGTGTTGTTCAGTCTGATTTGTTAAACAGGGTTGAGTTCTGTTTTGTCTTGGTTTGGGAAACTAGTTGCTACATCTGGCAGTCTTTAATGGCAGGGAGGAGAAATTCTAGTACAACTCCCAGACATAAAAAGCAGAAGCAGCTGCTTTGCATAAACCCAGCGTAGTAAAAATAAGCTTTTCTTTAACTCTTTAAAATCACAATTCAAATATATTTGTGGGGAGAATTTCTGGTAATAGGACATACAGGAAAATACTTAAATTGCAGCATGGGTGGTTTAGGTTGGACATTAGAGAAAGGTTCTTACTTGTCAGGGTGGTTAAACACTGGAATAAATTGTCTCGGGTGGCTGTGAAATCTCTATCACTGGAGATACTTACGAGTAGGTTGATAGACATCTATCAGTGATGGAACTAGACAGTGCTTGATCCGGCTGTGAGGGCAGGGGACTGGACTCACTGACCTCTCGAAGTACCTTCCAGTTCTAGAAGTCTATGACAGGAAGGTAAAATAACAAAGCAAATTGTAACAGACTGACAAAGCTATTCTGTTGTGGTTACACAAATATTACTGGTAGTAAATATATACATGTATGCCTCTTATTTCCTCAATGGTAATAAATGTATAATTCTGCCTTCTAACTTTTTAATACACATTTTATCCATGCTCTCAATCTTCAGAAGAAAGATTTCATTCATAGCCCAAGCCTATAACGTTAGGTGGCTAAAACTGACTTATTTTTCCAAATTATTCTATCAAGAACATTATTAAAATCTGACCATTAAAAGATGGATTTGAGCACTTTAAAGCTATTTATGAACTGGAAAGGTTATCTTTACTATTTCTTCAAAAACGGTAGACAATATATTTTTTTTAATTTGCATTGCTGACACACCTTGGTGTGTTCAAATTTGGCTTCGTGACAGTTCTGTATTTAGCAAAAGAAAAATGCTTTTCAGTGAAACAGAACAGATAATGTAATAAAGGAACTCTTCCTCAAGTAAAACTGATTAAACCTTGGTGTGGGAAGGAGGAGCTAATCTAAAATACATAAATATAGACACAAGTCCTAAAATAAAGCTAAAGGTCTATTTTTACTAAATCCTTTTACTGGTTCAAAAAAATCATGCATACTTTGAGGTAAATTATTTGCTCTTGTATAGTGATCATCATAGTATCTGCGTATTTTTTCCACATTTTTTTTATAAGCAAAATCAGTCTGTGAAAATTGTCTTGCTTGCGTTACCAAACTGGTTATAGTCATATAGAATTTAGGGAAACTAACTAGTAACTAATGGAGGAGGCTTACTGGTTCCAGTTAACTGGCAGAGGCTGGAGTAGATGGCTATCCTTTAATCAGTTAACTAGTTAAAATATTCATATTTAATTGGTAAACTCAGTGTTTCCCAAATGGTGTTCTGCAGAACCCTGGGGTTCCACGAAGTGAAAATAAGAGTTCCATGAGAAAATTCCATTACAACCGTGGTCACCAACCAGTAGATCGGTAGATCTCACGGGCTCTAAGAGTAGCTCTTGAGCCCTCTCTGAACTGTGCGCCTGTGCAGTACATTTACATTAGATTGCCTCATTTGAGGAGCAGCTACTCACCGAGCAACAACAACAGGTGAGTAGCTGCGAGGAATGGTGGGAGCTGGGAGGGCTGAACCACCCCAGCCAGCTGACTGGCTTTCACAGCTGGAGCTAGGCGCAGCCTCCCTGGGCTGAGTGCAGGGCAGCAGGGAAGAGAAGCACCTGCCCGGCCAGCTGGCCATGGCGCTCAGCCAGGGTGCACCAAGCTCCACGTGGGCAGGCGCAGAGGAGAAGCCGCTGATCAGCTGGAGCGTGAGGCAGCCTCTTTCAGCTGAAAGCCACAGTCAGCTGGCTGGGGGGTTTCAGCCCTCCCAACCTCCCCGCTCCCACCATTCC